TAACCCGGTTACCAACTTGGCATCTATGTTCGACTTGCTATAGCAAGATTTCTCTCCTTCTGGACCCCTTCTAAAATTAGATATGACCCGGCTCTCAACAGTGGACTTTGCTGCCCGTCATGACCACCTCTCCCTTCTTTCAGACTTCTTCTACCTAAGCCCGACAACAAAATTAAAACCCTTATTTGTACATAAAAGTAAAATAAAATAAAGCTATGTTTATGAAAGACATAGACATTTTAGAAAAAAAAAACACCTCATAGTGGGAAAAAAAAACTTTTCAACAAATTCTAAAATAGTTTAACATAAATGAACAAAGATGAAAAAAAAAGAAAGGTAACCATGATATACTATTATAGCCCGTGCCAGGCATAAGGGTAAAAATTATATAATAATTGCAACTAATTACTATATCTTGATTGTAAACCTTCGGTTTAGCTTTGGAACTCGTTCTAGGCACCGACTCGACTCAGGTATCTCCTAAATGAGGGTGTAGATCTCTTCCCCGTACCATAGCACCGTATTTGCAAAACAACAAAACACATCGTTGTCTTCTACTGAGTTCGTCCCGATTTGGTGGGTGTAAACAATGCTGATCTTTTGGAGGAGGTAAGCCAAAAAGCACACTTTTTGTCAAAAATTTTGGTAAGAACAGCAGAAAATGAAAACAAAAGAGAGATCTCTTGATATCACTTAAAAGAGAGTGAGTTACTAAAAACAACAAAGACAGCCTTCTTCCAAATAGTGCACTACTCAAATTTTGTCGGTGAGTGATAAACTCTGAACTTGTCAGCAGGTAGCATATAAGAACTACCTTTAAACAACAGGCACCGGGTCTGCAGTAAGTGATAAACTCTGAAACTGTCGGCAGGTAGCATATGAGAACTATCTCTAAATGATAGTTGCTGTCTTACAGTCTCTTCTTTCTTCGACTTATAAGCTGAGAAGTCAGTTTTTACTGTTTTTGTTGAGTAGTTTTTTCAGAAAAATTTGGACCAAGTGATTGTCAGAAAGAGTTGTTGGCTAGAATATTGCGTAGGTTTATCTTTATTTGTACACTTATTAAAGTATAAAAAACTTATATTAAACTTCTGTCGTACATTTAAACATATAGTTTAAGCAATTGTACACTTCAATAATAAAATTTATTCACTTATATAAGGTTTGAAGATGAAGGTTTACATATATGACATGCTAGTATTCAGGGTCCTATGTAATACACCATTCTAATACAAATATTAAATGCTAACTCTAAAAGAGCTGTTATAATGGTCTTATAATATAGCCTTTCTCATTCTAGCATTACTATTAGAATTATTATTTAATTCCACGTTATGCTTAATAGTCACATGACTGTCATCTTTTTTTTACCACCGCTGGTCTACTTTAACCTCTATTATGTGTAATAATGAAGAAACCCACAAATAGCCATTACCATAATAGATTTTATATTATAAAATAATTAAATCTTACCTACATTTAATGACGCGTCTAACATCCAGTAATAATATTTTAGAAATCCATTCTTGGTTTTGCGCAACTGCAGCTACCTTATTTACTGTTAAATCTTTAAAATCTAACTCCTCTTTCAGTATTAATTATCTGAGCTTAAAATAGACTAAAAACTTTGCTATTTATATTGTCGTGAGTTTTTTTTTTTAGTACTTAAAAAATTAATTTTTTTTCTTGTAATTTTTGTAGCGACAAAACAAATTTTTAATTAGCTTTGTTAATCGTCTATTTTATTTATATTATGTTATTACATTATTACATTAATTGTCATTTTATTTATAATGTCTATTAGTCTATTTAATCTGTCATATAATTTTCTAATAATCGAAATTCTGACTAAATTTTTACAGGGTTATGATTGTTCAAAATCGATTTAAATAATTACTTGGGCGTAGGGTCCGTAAAAAAAAGCCCGTGATATTTTTGAATTTTTGATGGCTATAAACATAGTGTTACACAATTGATACACAAACCGAAATCAATATGTATTAGTAGTATAACAAATACACTTCCAGTAGATGAGCTCCATTTTTATCTTGCACGTGTCTGCTACCAATGGCAAGCCTTCAAAGTTAAACAGGTCGGGCCTACGGGCTGGCCCGTGGGCCCGACCCGTTTAACTTTGAAGGCTTGTCACTGGCAGCAGACACGTGCAAGATAAAAATGGAGCTCATCTACTGGAAGTGTATTTGTTATACTACTAATACATATTGATTTCGGTTTGTGTATCAATTGTGTAACACTATGTTTATAGCCATCAAAAATTCAAAAATATCACGGGCTTTTTTTTACGGACCCTACTTGGGCAGACATTAACTCAAATTTATAGGGCATAGAAAAGTCTTACACTCCGCTTCCTCTGCTCCAGTCCAATAATAGTAGGAAACGGGATCCGTTGGTTCCAGAGCGCCATTTCAAAAAATTTTTAATGATGATCTAACTTGAAGATGTTAATAAAATTTTTTTTTAGTGTAAATACATAACCATTATGTACTTTTCTAATTGTCCAATGAATTTGACATTTGTAAAATTAGTAGTTTAATGTGATATAATTATATGAATGTAGTTAATATTATGTAATTAGTTACATAAAGGATCGTTCTCTCACTTATTAAATCATAAAGTTACACTTGATTGTAAGTTTACAATAAAATACATAAAGCAATTTTAATTAACAAAGTACACTCGTTCATAAATATTTTAAAAGCTGATCTGGTAAGAATGAGAACAAATTAATTAAGTGTATATGGTCTTATTGATAATTATAGATGGAAAATGTTCATCACATGTAGGGCAAATTCATTTCTAGTTTTTGGCATTGTCTTGCGAAAGATATTTAAAAGTTTCCCGTCAGATTCTGAAAGATGGGGACAAAGTCTTACATTTTCTTCTCTTTCCCTGTAGGTTCATTATTGGTTGCTGCATTTGTTTGTTGTTCATTACTATGCTCTATTCTAGTTCTTTAATTTCTAAAGCATTTTTTATTGATCATGCCTGTGTTCAAGATGCATTTCTTTTTTTTTCTGTGGTTTCGGTAGCTATTTTTTTTTCTTTTTCTATCATGGTCAGGTGCAAACCATTCCTCTTGTTTCTCTATTGTTTTATCGGGAAATTTTTCTATTCAGATCTGCAATATTCTGTGAAAACACAGATTTTTACAGTATCGGAAAAATTTTTTAGAGCAAATCTACAAAAATTTTCAAAAAAACAAAATTTTGCGCAGAATTGTATTTATTTTCTGTGAAAATAGCCACCAGGTTTGAAGATTTTCGCAGATTTGCAAATTTTCATATAATATAAAATTTGCAAATTTGCATAGATCTGCACTAAAAAAATTTTTCTGATGTTCTGTGCTCAATTATGTTCAATACATGCTATTCGCTCTTCCTTTGTTTCCATATATCTCTTTTACTTCCATTGACTGCGTCTACATTCAAGACATACTTCTTGTTCTTCATCAGTTTCTATAGACCTTTGCGATCATGATCATGAGCAAAACGTGATTAATTTTTATCAATAAAATTAGTATTTTCAATATTCATTGTAATAAAATAAATTTTGAATGAATTAGAAAGAATTGTGAGTATTAGAGGCATTTTTGAATTAGATGAGAGTTTGAAAAATATTATTTGTTTTTCAAGATTTAAAATCGGAAAATGAAATGGGTGTGTTTGGAGACCTCCAATTCATGAAATCGGAAAATATTTATAATACTTCGTAAAAAATAAAAAAATAAATAAAAAGTAAACCTTTCGTTCAAATTGAATATAAGATTAGATCGCCGGATCATTATTTCAAAATAAATACGTCATCAATTTCAATTAAGGTTAGATTCTCGCGTTTTAACTTTGAAACCCCCTATTGGCAAGAAGTTAAAAATTTATTTGTATTCAATGGGCATATAAATTCTATTTTTTAAAGTATGTACGCATTTACATGATCGCTTACCGATGAACGTTTGTCAAAAAAAGTTAATTTTATCACCGGCTACACCTATTTGATTTTCAGATTCGGAATTCTAAAAAAGATATAGGATCTTTTAAACTCCTACATATTTTGAAAAAGTTTAATCATTAAATTTTTTTCTTTGCGGATATTTTTATGATTAGGGCTTTGGGTTATAATAACATTTCTATCACTTCTACAATTTGAAGGTCGCTTTTAACATTACATGTCCCTTTTACTTTAAACTATTAATTGGCAACATGCTGAGTTTACTCATCTAATTCTATTCATTGCAATTTTATTGTGTAAATTTCTATATCATATGTCTCGTAAACAAAGTACTGTATTTAAGAGTTTAATTTATAATACATATGTCGCTAAATAACTGATAGATTCTGATTTATCGTAAAAACTTTATTTATTTTTTAACCATTTGAGATCGTAAAAACTTTATCTATTTATTTATTATCGCAGCTGAAACTGAAAATTAGGGACCTTGATTTAAAAAAAAAACCCTACCAAAATCTACTTATACTCTTTTATTATTAAGACTACCACTAAACCCTAAAAATTTTTGAAAATTTCATATTAAAATAATTAAAATTTCCAGCATCAGCCGCGACATTTATTTTTTAATTTATTTATTTTACACCCAATGGAACCCATACGGAACCCATTTTTTTCCTCTCTATTGCCTGGCCTTAAGATCCTCCGCTCTGCTCCGGAAATTAACATATTGCGGATGCTACAGTACAATTGTTGCTATTTAAGCTATTCAAGATCATATTGCTAATTCAGTATGAAATTGAGCATAATTACACCATGTTCATAAACTCTATTAAACACAATGATAGTTATAGTTGAATATATGTTACGTACTCAAATCTACTAATATCAAAATTATGTAATACGTAGCATGCTTTTGTGCATAATTTGCTTTGAGCAACTACAAAATCAAAGAAGAAAAACCGAAAAAAAATTACTGTGTACAATAAGAAACGTGAATATACTATACTATACAAATAAGTCGATAACTATACAAATTAAGTATACCCAAGGAGGTATAATGTGGAATTTTTTAAACTAAAATGTGGACTTAGTGATTCAGGAATATCAGATGGATTATCCTTAGTTTTCCATTGTATAATAGGCTGTGGATGAACACTATATGACGTGATCTCATTATTCTTAATTTTTTTGAGAATAGCTAAATCAATTGTATTATTTTGTGGTACAGGTATCATAGGATCAAGTTTTTCCAACAACTTGCGGGCACCCCAATACGAAACGGCATAAGCATGTGTACAACTTGGCATCACTGATTCATATAGTCTATTGGCAAAAGAACTATCATCGACAAGTTTACCTATTTCTTCATAACAATGACCAATATACAAAGTATCCCAATAAGCGGGTAAATTACGATGAATCCTTGTCATAATTTTTGTGATATCAGTTTCAAAATCAACGTCATCTTCTAGTATTAAAGCACTATGGAAGCCTTTATCAATTATTGATTTATAAATCATATAATGGCTGAGATAACAAGCTCTTCCACTAGGAGATAATTTGCCGTAACCATATTTTTGAAAAATGTTATTGTCATATCTGGAAGCGGCACTAAAATAATCTAAATCTAAATTAAGATAAGAAGCCAATTTATCCATTCTGCTCCGTCTATCAGTTCGATAATAAAGATTAATAACATATATATGGTCGAAGCCAAGTGTTCGATTCGAAGGTTTAACCTCCTTAATCTCTTCTTGTAAATTATTGAATAACGAAGAGATCAGATAGCTTATATAGATTAAAATTATAATCAAGAAGCTAATAAATTTCTTGCTGGGTTTGCTCTTGTCATGGCTTTTAAATAAAAAGGTTGATTGCAAAGAGAACGCTTTCATTTATTATAAAATAACTAACCATAAATAGCTGTTTGAATAATTATTTAAATAACAACAAAGAATTATTAGAATGCTAATTATTTAACACCCAACCATAAAAATGATTATTTAAACTAACAATTAAGAGCCTTTAGAATGATTTTTTTGCTTTATTTAACTATTTGATTTTCACGCTACCGTTCTGTTGTATCATCGAATAATTGAAATCAATGATTTGTTTAATAATTTAGTTCTTATTACTGGTGTTGCCTCAGTTGAGGTGAATGGTAATTAATAGTCAATTTTATTAATGGGGACGATTCATGATAAATAATCTTTTATATGAGATCTTTAGGTTCTCTTTAAATACATAATTTCGGATAAACATTGATACATTTATATTCATACTAACAAATATTAAATGAATATGTATACAGTAAATGGTTCTATCACAAAATCCCGAAAACCATTTCCCCAAAAGAACACAATACAGACTAAATTGGCCAAAATTATAACTAATGCTGGCTAACTTTATCGGTATTAGGTCCTTTCGGGAATTGATAAACCAATTCCGAATGTGGCCATATATAGTAAATTGTGTCACATTTTACTATAAGTTTTGTTATAGCCAAAAATGCCATTTCATGTAAACAATAGTCTGTTTACATTAGTTGGAAATCGTTTCTAGCAATATTTTGGCATCTACTAATCAGATTTTAATGAGCTTACTACCACTAGAATCAGAGATGATGCTCTACAAGTTGGGAAGATTAAAGAACACTGAACCCAGTGATTATCGCACAATCACTCGGCCTAGGTTAGGGTTAGTTTGGAGTTAGTTTAGGGTTAGCGTAGGAGTTAGTTTAGGCCAGTTTGTTTAGTTTTGGTAAACAAATGACGTCATGATATATTTATCATGTGATTATCGATCACTGGGTTCAGTGATCTTTAAGTGTCCCTACAAGTTTACTTAAAAATTGAAAATATATTTACTTAATAGAAAAATAACTTTACTTTGTCGTGAAAGTGGCATTTGTGGCCTAGCAATTTTATGTCGTAAATCACATAGATCTGCGCGTCACAATTTGGTTGCCTCATTGTAAACATCATAGATTCGACCAATCAGAATTGGCAATTTTGTGTGACCTATGGAAATTTGGATTCACGGCTTTTTTATCAATATACGAAGGTAGTTTTTTTTAAATGGCACAGGTTTTGAAATTTTCCTATAACAATGTGAACCTTCAAATTATTTACCACAAAATTTTGGCTATGATTCATTAAGTAGCTACGCGACAATATCGCACTAAACCAGGAACGGATGAATGTAAGCTTATTTTAGAAAATGGGAGGCAACTCTAAGACAGAATAGTTATGTATAGTTTTGTTAGATATACAATTAAATACTAATATAGCATAACTATATTGATATGAGACGCTATAATTTAAACAGAAATTTTATAAGATTTTAAGATGTATATAGTATAGAGTGAAACCACGTTTTAAAAAACGCATCAACCAACATGTGGGCTGATTTCACGCACTTGATGTGAAATATGATAATACAGAATTAGATATGCAAATAGATATCTTTAATTGGATATCTAATTTCAAAACTTCCTTATTTAGAGGTCGGTTAAAGCGGTGCGAATTTTGTAAATTTGTTTATTTAATTTAACATTAGGGTTAGAGCTATTTGAAGTTATATTTAAGAGTGTTTATGGGTAAAATTTCTTCCCCGACATTTTTATTAATGCACCGTTTCTTATTTTTCGCATTTTTTTTGCTTGTTTTGTTTCGCAAAAATTTTACAATTTGATTGGTCGATCGCCCGTCGATCATCAAAAATTCACTCTCTAATTAACCAATCAAATTGGTCAACAAATAATGATAATACAGATGAAACTTTATATCAGCGAAGCTTATATTTTTTATAAACTATATATGTTCAAGAAAAATTCTATTTTTAATTATTACTGTCCTTCGCTAGAGAGTTATTATCCTCGAAATATATTATTATTTAACAATATCTCTTATATACTGTATATTTCTCTATTACTGCATTCATATTTGATTTATAAAAAAAAAAAAACTCAAAAAATTTCGTTCTTTATTTACGTAAATTCTTAAATAATATTCATTTGTCAGTTACTACAACCATTGCATTACCGTCTTTACATTCTTAATTCAATTATTATAAACCACACCTATGGTGTTTTACATCTATTTTATTTTTTCTAAGTTTTATAAGTTTTGTGCATAAAATTTTAATACAAAATTATCATGTTAGGGTTAGTATTAGGGTTAGGGTTTGGGAAGGGTTTTTTAGAATACTTCATGCCAATTAATTAGTCAGTTTTTGAGAAAACATATACATAGTTGTAGAACTCCATAGGTGCGTTTTAGTAAACTCCAAAATAAAGTAATATAATATTAAGTTTTATTAAAAGAAATAATTTAAACATAAATATAATAAATCAATAGCTTATAAGAGTCTATTTTCAAATTTAACTTTATTGATCGTTCTTTTTACTCGACTATTCTTTTTTTTGCAATCAGTACTTGTATACCCTGCTTACTAATTGCAAATGTAATAATACACATAGTAACTTCACTTCTAAGTAAAGTCTGTTTTGGGATTATTTTGTATAGCAAATGGTAACGCTCTTCTAAACTATGAAAAAGATTTATTTTTCATTAGTAAAATTGTGAAACGTTACCCGGGCAATTGATTTACATCAGCCGATCAGAAGGGTATCCTCCTATGAGCCTACCTACGCAGTACATACGTACGTACTTATTTAGTAATTTTTATCAATAACCTAAAACGTGCTTGGATTTTATTGGCAGTTAGGTAGCACACGTGATTTTTTACACAATATATGTAGATCAATTATTAAATTAGCCCATATGAATTCAAAATAATTTTCTAATGCTAACCATAATAATACATAACGCCGGAACATAGAATGTTTAATATTAAAAGGACCCATTTGACATTTATATAATTTCGAGTAAATCGAATCAAATATAAACACAAAGTTTTTTACTTTATTAGGGTAGCTGCGCGATGCAGTCGCGCTAAAACCAGGAACGTCATACAGTATGAGTACATATTAAGAATTTCAGAATTAAACTATTTACATATAATTAAGATTATAATAAATAAAAGGGTTAAAACTTCATTTTCTTGCAGAATAAATTATATTGCTCTATTTCACAGATTTTTTCTTTATCTATTATTTTGCATTATCAATTATTTATTTCATTTCATATTGTCAATTATAATTGTACTTAACGTTGTTATATCATATCATATTTTGATACCTTTTATACCCGGCGTCTATTTATTTTTATCATACTGTTGACTAGAGTTCCAATCCGGATAAATCTGTCATCCGTTTATCTATATCTGATTTATTCGGATATCCGTTTACTATTGTATCCGACAAATATTCGTATAATTATCCGGATATCAATAGAAATGAATATCCGAATAAATTCAGATCTGGGTATCTGATAATTATCCGGATAAATGCTAATCGGATTGGACTCTACTGTTGACAAGAGGTCGATTTGATTACGTATAAAAATAATAACATGTAGTGCACAGGTGTGGGATGAGGTAAGAAAATAAAAACACGATTAGGCTATCTAGACATTAGTTATCCCTTCGTGTGCTTTGCAGGCAAATTTACCTGCAAAATTTATTTGCATGATTACTAAAAAAGTAAATATAAAAAAGTTTTTAAAAAATATTTAAATAGATTTATTCAATGATTTTGTAAAATATTAAGTGCAAAATTTATGTTAATAATAGCTTGGTATTAATTATAAATCTGTATATTTAAATTTACTATTATAAATAACATAACATTTAATATTAAATAACTCATATGGGCGGATTTGCGGAATTGTTTATTTTTTTGACGCACCCCAAATTTACATTACGTAGATCACAGGTAGGTCAGTCAATTGACGTATTTGAAATCCAATCAAATTCGACACATTACGTAGACACAGGTAGGTCAGTCAATTGACGTATTTGAAATCCAATCAAATTCGACATGTGATACATAGTCGATTTAATATACAAGCCAAGACTTATATGCGAGTTATCTAATACGTCGAACTCTACTTTAGTTAGAGAAATATACAATTACTTGGTTCTTATTCAAGCTGTTCCGGTTTAATATTTCTTTTTTTATGATATACGAATTTTTTAAATTGAGTTACTAAAGAAAAGCAAAAGTCTTAGGCTAAGAAAAAAAAAAAGAAGAGGAAGAAAACGAGGTTTTTTTATTTGTAGTAAGTTAAACTTTATTGAAATACATAACTTCGAAAAAATAGTATAGAAGTAATAAGAACCAGTGAATAATTTAGTTATTATCCGCAAAATTGAAATAACAAAAAAAAGAATGCATTTAGGTTGCATTTGAAATCTTAAACCCTACCGAACAGAATAATCCCTGGAATCTGCTATAACGAAGTATGGACACACCAAAGATGGAAAAGATACTTAAGTGGTGTCTGAAATCTGCTAAAAGTGACAACGCTACTGGGCAAGACAATAAGCACAACCAAGGCATTCGAAATATTTGAAATCTGCTGAAGGTGATAATTCTCACCATTGGTGTAATCCTGGAACATACTACAGAAATCGCATAGGCGCAGCAAAAGATAAAATGGCATTCTGGTGGTATTTGAAATTTGCTAAAGGTGTGAGCTGCTACAAAAATGGGTTATGTTATTTGGCCGGTAATGGAGCATTATGAATCGACAAATAATTTATAAATGCTATGAATGCTATAGATTACGTTTAATGAATGAAATTGGAAAAAACAACTATCAGTATTTTAAGTAAACTTGTTGACTTTCTAATGCAAAACAGTCTGCATTTTTATTAGTGCTAAAAATTAGCATTATTTGATTGGCGGATGTAATGGACGTAGTAGTATGTTCTAATATATGTCCAATGTATAAAAAAATATTTTATTAGAAAAAAAAGGCGTAACCATGCCACCAACTTAAAGCATGTAATATGAATTATTGTCTTTAGACAGATTTTTAAATAAATAGACACTATGTTATCAGTAGACACTATGTTATCAGTTCCCATTCTCTTTAACTCTGATATCTGTTTCCACAACAACGATTAACCATATTCATTCCAAGGGTATAACTCATTCGATTTTTGAAAATGATAAATGCCTTACTTACATCCTTTTCAACTCCAAATTTGTACAGGTGCCGATGTGAATGAAAGATATAAGAATGCTTTATATACGTTTTTTTCGACTCCAATTTTACCATCAGTCTTAGCAGCTATATAAATAAGTAAATAAAAAGCTCAAACACTAATATGATGAAATTAAATCAATTACAAATTATACCTTTCAGATTATATAACATTGAACTAATATTATACACCTCTTTTCCATACTCAATGCCGCTACTCGTAATATTCCGTTTTTTTTTAATATGCACTTTCAGATTTAGATGAAAATACCAGGTCAAAAGAGAACCGTTGTACTGAATTTTTTTCTATTCCCACTATTAAATAAAAATAAATAAATGAGTTGTCACAAATCGAACATGTGTACTGGTTTAATACGCTTTGTCAATGACAATACCTTAACCGGTAGATCTTTTGCATCTGTTCTTGTAGAGTAGCGTATGAATAGATTAGCTCCCATAAATATAAAAAAATTAACGTACATTTTTATAAATAAAAAATCCTTTCAATATGCGGAATTTTTGCCAGAAAAAATCAAAATCTGAGCTGTACAAATCATATGATTCAAACCTTGATTTTCTCGTACATTCATGCCATATGAAATAAATACTGACATATTGCAAAATAATTTTAGTAAGCTTAATGCAGTACCAGATTTTTTTAATACTATACTCACCTCAGCACGCTGTTTCTTGCTTTTTTTTTTATGTGAAAGTTTTGACAAATTCCATATTCACTATTACTTTAACGCTAATTATAAAAGACAATACTAATGCTATAAATTCATGTATATGATGATTAAAATGTATATATAATATCTTTTGAATGATAGAAACTTTAATGAGGTGTAAGAAAATAAGTCGAGCCATTTTTTTCTTGAAAAGTAGATTAGTTCCTGGTTACTTCATAAGTTTGTAAAGTGTATAAGAATCTCTCAGCAAATAAGTAATTAGCATAGCTCATTCTTTGTCAAAAATAATCCATTCTTGGATAAAGCAAATGACTTTATTTACTTACGTTCTTATGAATAACCGATTTTTTTTTAATACGTACAGTGTTAAAACCTGCAAATGAATAAATTTTGCATATAGTTAAGTTGATTTCTACTTTATAATTCGCCTTTTTTTTTTTTTATGTATTACAATAACTGGAACTATTTAAGCAACTAGTTGTTAACTAGTTGAATTAGTAAGTTAAGTTAGTGTGAAGAGGAATGATGCCATATTAGGTATGGGCGCTTTTCAAAAAACAGCACAACAGAAACGGTACCTTGGTGTGAGGAGGAATGATACTATATTAGATATATGAAATTTAAATGGTACCTTGGTAGAGTTGTTTATAGAAGACACCAAAGGTAAAATTAATGTTATTAGAGCTTTCTACTGGCATAGAATTTTCTGTGAATAAAAATTAACATAATATATAATAAATCAAATAAGAACAGCTTTTTTTTGATTAAAGGAAGTTTAGTAAGCGAAAGGTAAAGTATAAAATATATAAATTAATACATATATACAGTTATAATATCGAAGAACCACTATCATTATAGTGCAAAATTATTTTGGTCCTTAATAATAAAATTTGTGTAAATTCTCCTTACTGTATTTTTGCAAATCAATTGTTTTGCAATTGGTTAAATATAATTGTAATTGCAATTCAATTTTCGGCACCCTGCTGTAAATAATTTGAAAATCACTAACATGCTAATCTCATGATTTAGAGAATATATGTAATTGATTTAGAGTTGATTAGAGTTTATTTGAAGATCATACGTAATTTCTGTATCATTATTCTATGTTCAATTTGAAGATCATATGTAATTGCTATATCATTATTCTATGTTCAATTTGTTAAAATATTTATAAAACATATTTAAAATTCATATTCTTTGATATAAAAATATTGGGGTTTAGAATCTAAGTTATAGTTTTTACTATTGAAGTATAAAGACCTATTCTTATAATTGAGAATTTCAAAAATAGCGGATTTTCATTACCACCATCTTTCATTGTTTTTCTAAAAAAAGTTACAACATGATTGTGATTTTTTTTTTCAACAGCCTTACATGAGAATGCTGCAAACCCAAAATATTTATGACGTTCCATGAATTCCACAATATGATAAACCAAAATGTGCATATATGGACTAACATCTTTTGGACAATAAAGACCTTTCTTAAAAGATGCTGTGTTTGGTTCACCTTGATAAGGTATAAGAAATAGGTTGAGCCATTTTTTTGCTTGGGCTGCAAAACAGCCAGATCAGTTCCTGGTTGCTTCATAAGTGTGTAAAGCATATGAAAATCTCTCCACAAACAATTAATTAGCATAGATCGTTCTTTGTCAAAAATGACCTCAAAGTTAAAACTGTGCAATACTTTTTCCTTATCGTCACCCATTAAAGGTGTGTAAATCCAATTTTCTACATTACATTTATCTTGCCAAAAATGGAATGTTACTGAGATCCTTTTTATTTCTCTGATGATACTTTCCCTATTATATTCATCGTATCTACTTTCAGAGTTGAGCTCCTGGATAGCTAATTTCTATAATCGGTCCCAAATTCTTAACATGACATAGAGTTCATCAGGTATATAGCGATCCAGAGAGATTATAGGAATAAGAGGCGCTTTGGAATGTCCAGGTAGTGGTTTTGCAGCCTTAAGTTGTTCCATATTTTTTTCAATCATATATACTTTGTCTTTGATACCGATTTCTTTTTTCATGTATAAGTACCAAGGGCAAAAGTAATTCGCATTGGGTGCATTGAACCCCAAAATTATACACAAAAACTTCCAATCACTACTGAAAAAAGGTTCAATTTTCCATTTTATTCCAAAGTCATCTAACCTGTTTTTGATCAAATTATCCAATTCATTGATTACTGGTTTCATTATTGTTTTAAAAAGATCATAATTTTCTGTTCCAGGATAAAGAATGATTGTGTAATGGTAATTAGCTTTGTGGATATTCGATACATCATCTAAAATCACACATGTAACCATTACATGTTTGATTTTTCTACCTATATTTTAGAGATGGCAAAAAAATGGCTTAGAACATGCAATTATTTACTAAAACGCACCTATAGTATTTTATACATATGTATATATTATCTCAAAAACTGGCTAATTAACCAATGCAAGATGTTCTAAGTAAAATACTCTACACCAGTGTTGAAAATCTATTTCCAATACTGCTCTACGCCCCTAAAAACCCCTAAAAACATATGATAGGCGCAAAACCACCATAGGTGCGTATTATAATAAATAATTTAGAATTATCATATATATAGTCAAGTCACTAATATTTAAACAAAAAAATATCTTTTATTTAAAACACTTGCCATCCCTACATACATATATACTACATACCTACGTTGTGGCCATCTCCTGATATATGGATATGGATTATTGGGTTATTTATATTCAGAACTTGTTGATTTAAAAGGTCCAGAATCACAAAGCGTAATATATCTGTAATCCTTCTATAGCCTGCATTACCGATATATCGCATCATCTCTTCTTCAATTTCTTGATCGGTAATATTGGGTGGCTCATTTGTTGTTATAAGAGAAATATTTGCTATGTTTAAAACGGAAACAGAAACTTTTTAGTTCATTTCATCATTAATTTTTTTTCTGGCATCTGAGACATCATAATCACGTGGTAATTCATGTTGAATAGCAGCTAAGTTTCGATATGATTTCCAAGAGATTAGACCCTGGTTAACAATTTCTGTAACTGCTTCAATATAGTTATTTTTTTTATCTCTATTTCTATTACGATAATCAACCACTTAGTTCTTTTCTTGAACATTAAATCGAAGTTCTTGTAAAATAGGTTGATTCATTGGATTATAGAATTTGTGAATTTCATTTTTAAAGGCTATACCAATTTGCTTTGAAAATGCGTGAGAATGTTTTTCTTTCATGGACTTGCACAATGTATTAAATAGTTTAAAAGGATGAGATTGATTCTTTCTCTCGCGTTCTTTCTCCACATCTATTGCGTTAAGCCCAAATACATGCACCCCTAAAAGTTGTACTTGCGTATCAGGATTTCTTTTCTATGTAAAAAAAAAAAATTTTAATTTTTTATTAAAAATTATAGAAATTAATTGCTAAAAAGAATTAAATTAACTTTTAAGTAT